GTTGGCAAATTGCCAGTGTCTGCCAGTCAGATTGTCAGGCAAATTGTGTTGTCTGCTATTGCAAACATTGCGTCGCCTTCGTGCACTCGCCCAAACACTCCCTTAACCGCCGTTCTTCCAATGTGAAACTCGTCCAACCCCCCTTTCCAGCTCTTTTTTGACCCTTTGTATTTCTTTTTGTTCACCGTTTTTTGCTCTTTTTTCGTTGTTATAGCTTTATTCTAGAGTAGCTCTATCAATTCCCGTCAAAGAAGGGTACCCTAAATTTATCGTGAACGCTGCCTTTAAGTCCCGTCTAGACCAACCAGTCTCAGTCTAACAAGGCTGACCGGCTCACTCCATTCTCTACCTAAGAGTCGGTCAATGGGTTCCATTTTTACCCTCAGGTCTTGGGATGTGCCGAATACGCATATAAATACCTCATCACGTCTAATCAAAAAAAAAAAGCCGAGTACCTAGTGATTCTTCGAGGGCATCCATCAGAGTGGCAGGTAAAAAGGATAGCATTCAAGGAGCTCACCCTTGCAGAGCAAGCAGCATCAGGATTGCTCAGAGTTAAAGAACACTCGTTGTTGGTGCTGTTGGTTACGGTGAATATTAACTGACCATTTGCCAAACTTCCATTGAGTGGTTGGAGAATACAACCATATGATGCAATGACTTCTCCTGTAAAGAATTCGAATTAAAGCGATGCTTAGCGATTTGTTCATTTTTTCTTGAGAGGTCCGATAGGGAAGGGATGTAAGACACTAAAGGACGTTCAGGTTCTTCAACGGCTAATACGAAATTCAAATGAATGTTGCTTGGAAATGAGTATGAACTGAATTCGATGTGGTATCTGACCCGCCTTCCGGTGTCAGCTCCTCCTCTCAGAGGTAGCTGTTTCTTCCAAAGATTGAAGAAAATTCACAATGATCAGGTTGAAAAGAGATTTAGGGGGAACTTCGAAACTTTCATTCACTACAGACCAAAAATGCCTATTTTAACGCGAACTTCACATTCGCCACCTTCACTTGACATCTCATACATCACAGGGTTCGGTAACTTCTCCCCGAAAACGGCGTCGCGTTCTCCGCATCCAATCGCGCGCAGTCGCGCGCTTTGAAGGGAAAGGTTTGAATTCCCAGTGCAAGGATAGAGTAGCCGTCGCGTGACTTTGCCGCTTGCCGTGGGAATTTGGGGAGAAGTTCCGGCATCCTACATTACAAGTTACCAGATCCAGCTCAAACTACTATTGTCGAAGGTGAATTTCTCAAAGCGCTGACTTGGTAGCTTTACTTTTAACAGATTATCTAATTGATTGTTGATCCCTGTGGATCTAATGATGTTTCGAATCACTCTTGAAGGGGTTTGTAAGACCATTTAAAAGCCAGTAAACCAACCTTCTGTTACTACAAATGTGTCCGTCAAGCTGGTTTGCCATGAGATCGTAATCTGATCGGTACAGTCCTTAGCTGTACCGAATGCCAAAGGCTGATACTGATAATGCGAAGAGATTACTACGTCGGTGAACTGCAAAAAGGACATATCAATTGTCTAAATATCAATTTTATATATGTTAAGACGAGAAAAGAGAAGTTGATGTTCAAAAAGAGAAGTCAAAGTCC